CGGTACTTGCAAGGAGGGCGTATCGATTTGTCTTCCTGCATTGCCAAGGCTGCTCTCCCGCAGAGAGACGCAGGGCAGGGCAGGGCAGAGCCACCAGCAACCGCCCCACGTACTCCGCCCGGCGGGCCGAGCTAACCGCTTCCAAGAGGATCTCCTTAAGGAGAGGCTGAGCAGGGCAGGTGCAGAGGGTGGACCAAGGTCATTACCAATATTTAAAGATTGTCTGGCGCTTAAGGAGATCCTCCCAGCTACATTTGCACAAAATGCTAAGCGCATTTCGTTTAACCTTGGCTAAGGGTGGGCAGGCGGCCGGGGACTTAGCAGATCGCACAAACTCAGCCGCTCTCGCCTTTTGCGCAGGCTCAGAAGGTGGGTGAATTTAGGGATCAGGCGACACGCGAGGGGTGGGCGCTGCCTCTTTGTTGAAGTTTGGGGACGGAGCCTCAGCGGAAGAAAGGGGAATTTGGAAGGGAGACAAATAGCATCCCAGGGTTTACGAATGCTACACAGTTGATCTGTTGCGCAGGTGGAAGGGAAATTCTCCCACCCTGCCCCCCACCTCTGCAGCTTTGCGTGAAATTAGAAGGAAATCCTACCTAGCTGGAGATCTTTCACGGCAAAGCTGCGGCCCCAAGTCTGCTAGGCTGCAGGGTTTCTAGTCCACATGCTGGGATCAGAACTCTGTGTTCTGCAACTGGCAGTCCGTGGGCCAAATCTGACCCAAGGGATTTCACTTCACTGAGGCAGACTGCAGGCACGGAGCAGGTCCTGACACATTCCGTGTAAAGAGGTGGGGGGATCTCAAAGGTCATCTAGCCCAACCCCCTGCCCAGTTGTAGGAACCCACTACGACAGCAACCTTCAGCAAAGGAAAATCCACCACCTCCTTAGGCAGCCCGTTCTGTTGTTCATCGGCTCTTACCAGTAGCTTTTTCCTGATGTCTCGGCCAGATCTATTTCCTTGTAGTTTAAATATATTGTTTCTTGTCTTGATAAATGGTTAATAAGTGGATGGATAAACTAGCAAATGGATTAAAAAAATAATTGGCCAAGGCAGATTATAGGGTGGAATGGAGGATAGGTCTTATGTGTCAAAAGGGGCTGGTATCCTTCTTGCTTTCACAAAATCAGGATTCCCCAGGTGGGATCAGCGGCCAATGGGTAAGCATGGGCTTGGCGCATGGAAAATCAAATTTCCTTTTCTGGAATCAGGTTGGAAGGGATCAGCTATCTGTGATGGAGACATCTCTAGAAGTCCCGTTAAGCAAGACTTGGGCTGAGGGATAGCGGACAGACCCGGCATATGGTGGGTGGCCCATCGTTGGATTACTTTATTGGTTCATCTGGGCCAGAACTGCTTCCAGGCACAGTTTAAATGCCTAATATGACTTTTTAAGCCCTAAACAGCTTAAGGCCCAGTTCTCTGAGGAACCTTTCTTAATATGAGCTTATCCAAACATTAAGGTCAGGATGGTAGGACTCATAAAGACACCTTTCTCCTCCAAGGTCTGTTTATACAAGGCATGGGAGAAGGTTTTGTACCGTGAGCCCGTTTAAACACCGTTTGGTTTGTAAAGCATTTTTAATTGTGGTTTTAGTGTGCTCCAAGCGGCCTTTGGAAAAACCCATTCTGAAGGATGACATAGAATGGTTAAACAAAATAAAATTCTTATTGTATTAGAAGGGTTTGTTTTTAATTGCGAGTTTGAATACTTGGTGAGCAGAAAATAAATGAAGTAAAAGGGAAAAAACCCTAATGGTGGAACACTTTCACCGAGGGACCACTGACTGAGAGGTGAGGACTTCTCGCCACTGGTTGAGCTCAAGCAGAGGCTGGACAGTCTTCTGTTGGGGAGACTTGAATTTGGATTCCTGCCCTGAGCAGGGGTTGACTGGATGACCTCTAAGCCCCCTTCCAAGCCTACAGTTCTACGAAATAAATGAATAAATAATCAGTCAAGCCAACTGACAGTTGCTCAACTTTGGGACTCAAGATTCTAATAATCTGAGTCATCCTTCTTCTGGAAAAGTTACCATCCCTGTTTTTTTTTTCTTTTTCTTTCTTCAGGGGAGTGACCCAAAATCCCATTTTATCCTTGTCTCCAATGTTTGGTACTGCTATTTAATCAAGACAACGTGGCTGAACACTTTCCAAATAAAGGCTCTCCAGCTACTGGGTGTGTGCATTAGAGGAGCTATGGCTGAGGACATCAGGAGGAGACATCTGGATATAGTTGGAACCTTCCTGACCCAACCACATCCAAAGTCACGAGGCTTTTAGAAAAATGGACAGAATGAACAAGCATTACCTTTTTTCCAGAAGCACAAGTGTTTTGGTCATAATGCAGAAGACAGCAGTCTCGAGCTCCTAAAAGCTGCCTGTGTTTGTGTGTTTTTTTAAATTAAATAAATGGGAAGCAATAATGTCAAAGGTATTTAATCAATTACGAAGTTGAGTAGGGGCCCTTTCTCATCATTATTTTACTATTGTATTTTGTTGAATATCTTGTAAACATCTTAGGCTCCAGTTGGAGTGAAGCGGTCTACTCATTTGATAAATAATAATAAATCTCATTTTAATACGGAGGACATTACCTCCGTTAAACCCTGCACGTGACTATTTTTGGAGTACCGAGCGGGTTCTTAGCCCAAATCACAATCTCTCACGGGGCAAGGTGCTGGAGGACCCACCCCTAGGGAGTCCTGGGGGGTGCTCAGTGGTTGGAATCAAGTGATCACGGCAGCTGTACAAGTTCAGGTACGACTCTGAATTCCCTTCTCTTTCCCTAACCCTAATTCCATGGCTAGAAGCTTGAAAGGACCTTGGGTGTGCCATGGATGCGAAATCTATCTGAGATGCATATGTACTATAAATGTGACCCAGTCTTTAGTCAGAGCAATACAGACAGCTGATTTGACCCTGAGCTATTGGTTTATAGGCTTACACAGCTATAAGCTATAATTGGCCCTAGTTCTTAAGGCAGAGATTCTTCCAAGCTCTTAGGCATGTCAACTGTTTGAAACAGACCTAGGCCCTCAGCCTGAACTTTTGGCCGTGCAGAACAAGAGCTGTGCCACTCAGTTATTTGTAGAAGGCACCAGACGCCACACTGTTGGTGTGCAGGATGCTTAACCCCAAATTCAGATGAACGAACACTATGGCTGTGCCCCCACAATAGCTCAAGGGGACCATTTGATTTACACAATCTGCTGAGACAACTGTGGCTTTTCATCGGACGCTGAACCATAGCTGAGTCTGTGCAGGGCAAACGCAGCCATGCGCGTGACTACAGATTGCTAAGATGTTCTTGGTTCTACACAGGTTAAACCAACCCACTTGTAACCTTGGTCTTTTGGCATGGAAGAAAGAGAAGCTTCAAAGAATGGCAACCTCTGGACACATCTGTAACAATTTATTGAATGAGGAAATAGACAGAATTGGGGAAAACAACAGGTAAATTCCATGCTCTTGGTGGTAGTGGTGAGGAAAGGAGTTTTTTTTTTCCTTTGGGTCTCAGGGAAATAATTTCTCAGTCTATCAGAACTTTATTCTGTTGCCGGAAAAAAATAAAAAGAAACACCGACTTTAAAGTCACACCTGACGTATCTTTACAACAACAATAAAAAATAATATTTAAAAACTAAAAACAAAAAAATTAAATCAAAGACCTGGGTTGTTTCCACGGGAAGGAATCCTTCCCCCCTATTTACGTCCAAAAGAAAACGTGTATACAAAGAACTTTTGAGATTTTCCTTTTTGTTTTTTAATCAAAAAAAGCCAAGTAAATACATGAATCTGGAAGGGCGGGTGGGAAGAGAGAGAAGCCTTGCCTTGAAAAGTTGACGCGGAGATGTTTTGGTAAATGATATTCAGTGTAAAATAAAATAAGAAGAAAATTAAATACTGTGTACGATTCCATGAGAAAAGAGGTGGAACCCATCCGTGACGGAGTGGACGTTTTTGCATTTTTAGGAGTGGTGATGTGACAGTGGGTCTCCCTGGGAACCACAAAAGGGGCAGATGTAGCTGTTCAATTCAACCGTAGGCGGTGATGAACTGCTTCTCACCCATCCACTCAAGGACCACTGTCCTGGCCGGCTTTTCTGCTCATCGTCCGTGGCCAGGGCCCCCACCTATTCACCACACCTTTGCATGAAGTACATGCCCTGCCCCAGGAATGGGCCCTGACACAGCAGCCGGGACCTTGGTGGTGAAGAGCTACTAGCAGGGATGACGAGGCTGTGGGGCTGGATCAGCCAGGAAGGGGCAACAGGCCCAGGACTGTCCCACATGGGTGTTGACTGAGAAAGGGGGTTTTAGGGAGGTTTCTGGTGAGGCACCGTCCATGCAAGGGGGCACCTGTTGCAGGGTGGACAAGGGAACCAAAATCAGAGCGGCCGCAGTGGCCCTTGAGACTGTGGGGAGGACTAATTTGAGGGTTCATGGATCGAAACTGAAGGGAAGGGGCCCCTCAGGGGAGGGGGCACCCTCGTCACAATATGCCCTGGAGCCCTCTCTTAGAACTTTCTCAACTCACAATGGCAGAGAAGGAGGTTCTGAAAATGCAAGCAAAAACAGGTCAGCGCGGGAAAGGAGAAGGATCCCTGGAGGCTTCAAGCATGGATTTCAAAAAGGAAGGAAGTGAGGTCTGATCCCACCTGGCTATGAAAGAGCCCTGGAAGGCAAGGCCTGCTCTTTCGGACACGGATCCAGAATCAGTGGGTGACGGCCTTCACCGTCTCCTCCAGGAGACGCGTTTTCTCAGATGCCTTTTCAAGGAAGAAAAAGTGTCTTTCCCCAAAGACTTCTTGACTTTTCTCTCTCTCTTGTTAAATTTACGTCCATATTAAAAGGAGCCCTAATTCTCAAGGCGAGGATGGCAGGAGAGCTGGCCTGGTGAGCTCTGTGGGAATGGGACAATGAAAGTCTGCCAGGGAGAGGTGCCTTAGACCTCAACTTCAGAAAGACAGGGCAATAAACCTTTCCATTTCTCGCCCTCCTTAGGAATGGGCGATCCATGCAAGGTGGAAAGGGAAGCTGGGCGTAGCTTGCCCCGGACAAGCCTCGTCACTCCCGTGTGATCAGGTGGGCACTCGAAAGGCCCCGCACGCACGCCTTTTTCTCTCTCTACATTGTAGTCACGCGGCCCTTTCGCTTCCAAAGTGGTGAGACTCAAACGCCACCTGATTGCATTTCCAGAGAGGTGTAGAAAAATCTTTTCGAAGAAGAGAGGAAGAAGCTGCGGCGTCACAATCCAGCCCCTTAGCCGTCACTGTTCCAGCGTCACAACTTCCACTGCCTGGCCGTCCATGGTGACAGTGCTGTCGGTGATCCTCGCGGTCACGGGGGCCATGGCTACCTGCACGGGGCCGTTCCCCTGCGCGAGGCTGGTGACGACCGTCTGGTACATGCTCACCGGAATCTGGACGAGGCCTGGGGGGGTGGGGGGAGGCGAAGAAAGACAGTTACTTCTCCCACGTGGATGAAAAGGGGAAGACAGAAGAGCTATTTATGTATTAATGGCCGGCGTGGGAGTTGAACACGGTGGTACCCCCAGACAATGCCTTCCCTAAGGCAGCAGGCCCCACCTGCTGTGTCTCAAAGGGAGAACTATTTATTTATTTAAAAGATTTAGGTAGCGGCCCCTTTTATGCAACCTAACCCTGGGGAGCTCCCAAACAACAATAAAGCAGGGGAAAGATAAAAACCAACACAGAAAACTCCTGTGCCCCCAACTGCGTCCTATCCCCACACACCCTCAAAGGCCTTTCTGGCTCCAGTCTCACCCTACCCCAATGCTGGTGAGAAAGGACCATCTCCATCTATGCACTCGCTGTGGCCTCGTCTGTCTAAAACCCGCTGGACCACCATGCCTCTTATTCTAAGTCAGCCCAGCCAATGCCATCAGGCACGGCTGGCAAGTGTTACCCAACGAAAGGCAAAGATTAGGTGCGATGCCAAGGGGGTCTGCAGAACAAGCAGAACAATCAACTAAGTGACCTCAGGGGGCAAGAAAGGGGCACTGGAATTAAATCCTGCCCACCTTCCCCATGGGACCCTTTCTCACCACATGAGATCAGGCAAAAATATTTTCCTGAGGACAGACAAGGTTGCCTGAATTAATATGAGCCAAACTCCTGACTTGGGATCAATTCTTCTTGACCCACATATCCAGAACTTCTCAAGAGAGTCGGTCTTGATTGCAGGGGGATATAAATGTAATCAATCAATCAACAGAGAAATAAATATCAGCCTCTCAACACATTCACCCATTGGTTGCTGGGATCAAAGAAAAATGCTTTTCAAACACCTAGGCAGGAAAGCTTTCGTGTATGAGAAGAGGGTCAGGGTGGGAGCACACACGCATTTATGCGTGTACAGGCATGCTCTTGTTTTCAGGCTACTGTTATGCCTTAAATGATTAAAACAGGCCCACAGCCACCCCGTTAACACTGTTGTATGTGAAACTTTTTTTAATGCGCAGCCTTGCATGCAAGTCTGAAAAGCTGAAAGAGGGGAGCAGAGAGAAGCTGAATGCTTGGGATCGCTCAAGTACACCAGCTGTGTCCCAGCCGGGAGAAGCGACGCAAGAGGTTTTGCATTCTCTTTGCCTGATCCCTCTGCCTGGCTGCAACCTGTTGCCTTTGCTTCATTGTGTGCCTTGGGTAAACACACACCCTTTTGTGCTGCACACACCTGCGCGCCAAGTGGGTTTACGTTTTCTGACACCTGTCGCCCGCCTTGGTTCTCCAGGATGAACGCCAACAGTGAGGCTTTAACAGGCAGCGAAGACTTCCTTGTTCCCATACACTGGGTCCTCAGGGACAAGAGGGTGAAGGAGATCCCCAAGGCTCCTGGGTCTCATGTGGGGACAGTGGGAATAAAACCTTCCACACCATTCAAGCACCACATTAAGACCCTTTGCGTGAAACAGCTGCTTTTGGAAACTCAGTCCCTGAGCCAGATTCCAGAAAAGTGGCAAAGCCAAGATGGGTTGGGTCACTATCCATGGATGGCTTCTGTTTGGAGGACCCTTCCATCTTTGGATGCCCTGAAGATCTTTGGACTCAACAGGATGAGGAGGAGGAAGGGCAATGGGATGCAATTAAAGGCCCTTGTCATCCTAGTCAGGAAAACTTACGCCTTGAGCACTCCAACCTGAGGCTGGAAAAGTTTCTGGTTGATTCTTCTTGCCGATTAAGAACTCCCAGCGCAAGCTGGATAAAAAACCCAGTCCCGACAAAGTTGGGAAGGAGCCGATCAAGACAAGCAGACGCACGCTCTGATTTCACCCTCAGGTGGCTAGATGACTTGGACCAAACTCCCCTCCCCACTCCCTGTCTGCCAGCAAGGCCAGTATATCTGGGGGAACCCTTAGGCCAGGGAGGGTAGCCCTCACACAAGAAGTCATTGGTAACCACCCAAAGACTGTATCAGAAGGTCAAAAAGAGTTTAGGTGCAAGACTCTGAAAAGAATCGGCTTTAAGCTACTGGGAAAGCGAGTGTGCAGGGTTCGATTTTTTCAGCATCGCATTACAAGCCATGTCGGAGATCCATGATTGGATCTCCCTTAGAAAAAAACAACTAGCAACTGGGAGGAAGGAATTTTTAAGTGGGATTTTAAGCTGGGTGTAGAGGTTTCCTTTTCTTGCTCATGATCAGGTTTCTTAGTGAAAGTTACCGTGCTTTTCTTCCAAGCCTGCAGTCTGCTTTAGGAAAAATATTCCTCTTCAGTACTCACGAGCCCCCTCATCACGTTTAAAACAAATTACTTCCCTGGTTCATCAAGCCAGAGTTTGCTAAAATACCTGAATCTCCAAAACAATGGTTCAGTCGTGACCTCTCCAAAGCAAAAGTCCCATGAAGCAACTCGCTAGCTACAAACAACCCAAAACAGAGTTGTCTCGTCTAGCGTGCAGCACACACCTCGTGCTGAGTAACAATCGTTACCGCCAGTCCACTGGGATCGTGCATCAGCTACGCAAGCCAGGAAGCACAAAGAGATGCAGGCAGCTTTTCCTGTAATCGTTGCTCAGATATGGAGCACTAAAGTAGAGAAATGCTCTCAAATTAATCTTCTTTTAACTGAAAAACTTTGGGCATGTCCCGGGGAATGAGATATCGCCCATTCAAAGTGTGTCAAGGAGCTAATCTCCAACCCAACCACAATATCCTCCATATTGCACTGAACCACAAGCAGAGATGCAGAACGAGGCAAACCCCTGGGCAGGGAGGAAGACATGGTTCCAGAGGAAATAAAACTAGACAACTTAGCCAAATTTGAGATTTGCTAGCCAGCTTTCCTCTAGGTATGGTGGTTGGCGAGATGCAGAGCAGTGGAATTCTTCCGTCTGCCTGGTTGATTAAAAATGGCAAGGACACTGATTTGGGAGCACAACCCCAAATCTTCAAAGGGATATAATTAAGATTATTTAAAAAGTGCCGTCAATGTCAGGGAGTAACGAGATCAAAAGATGAGGATTTCTAGCCCTCTGCAGCTTTCAATTTGTACTATTTTCTGTTTGGAGTTCTGAGAACCTGTGGTAGTACCCTCGCAAAGGGCTGCTAACCAGCAATTCCTCATTCCCAGAATGATTGTCATGAAGGCCATCCCCAATCAATTCACCCTGATTTTATTTATGTATTTATTTATCACATTTATATAGTCACCCATCTCACAGAGTGATTTAGCAGAGTGCTACCCACCAACTGCTCTAGCCCACCCACCCCACCAGCAGGATGCTCCTTACTAGCATGGCACACCGTTGTCCTTCCTCCAAAGCAGGAGCTTCTGGCCATCTACCATAGTTAGGTTCTAAGGGAACTTACGGGGCCTGCTGGAGGCCAGCAGCATCCTTAGCAATAAAAATCAGGCTGGAGGTTAGTGCTTCGTTTTGCCACATGCCAGCGGATTCTTTTTTAAAGTAACAATTTGTTTTTAAATGCACAAACTAAGATAGGGCAGAGAGCCTGGCGATGCCAAGGAAGGTGTCCATGGGCACACTGGCACCTTCAGGTCCTCAATTTTATGTTCAGAGATAACAGGGTTGGAGAGGGCAAAGCAGCAATTTGTTTGGATCTTGCAAAATGTTGACCAGGAAACAATTAAATAACATTTTCTGAAATGCCACAGTGCTTGTCAAAACTATGGCTTCATTCTCTATGAAAACAGGGAGAAGAAAGAAGGGGCTGCCACAAATTTGCTCACTGGAGAATCTATTTAATTGCCTTGATCACAAGCCTTCTCCTTCTGCAAATGATTGGGGAAAATAAAAGGAAGGAACAAAGCAAGGAAAAATGCAGGTGGAATGACCCAATAAATGCACGGTGGGGCAACGAATAAAAAAATCCCACCACAAAAGGTATGTAAGAAGGCTGGCCTTCTGAAACAGCCAGATTGTTCCCCCACTCTGAAGCTAAAAAGCTGGGAATCGCCGAAACCATCTACAGGGTCCTTCTGGGCAAGACGATTAAGCCAAATCACCTTGCCATCTGATGCAACCGCTTTGGGGGCCGCGGTGCTGGGAAGATGGGGCGGGCAACAGGCAGAGGAAAGCCTTTGAGTCTCCTGCCCCCCAGAGCTGAGCTGCTGCCCTTGGGAGGGACAGGACGAAAGCCCCAGAGACACAGGAATCGGGCCTTGGATTGTCCCAGCACCTCATCTGCCCTTCTGATTAGCCTTAATCTACTGGCACACGTCAATGTGAAGCTTGGGACTCCAGACCCTTCGCGGGATTAAAACAACAATCCCCTTTCTCCTCCCTTGTGGAAGGGCACCGGGGTTTGGCAGGAGCACATGCAAGGGGTGAGGGGCACCATCCCCAGAGAGAATCTTCTGTCCGGGGAACAAGTGAGAGCTGGCTGTCTCTGGGAACCTTCTCATCCTTACAATGGCTCCTGCGGTGGAAGGACCTTGCTTATGGCCATCTCTGCCAAACGTGCTCCTGTGGGTGAACTGGCTGAGGGTAAAACAGGGGCACTGATGCTTCCTCTGGGTTAAGAAGAATTGGGCGAGATGGGTGGACCTGAACTAAGCCTGGCCATCTGTGAAAAACAGACAATGTGAATTGAGAAACTGTCCTCCTGGAGGTGACAGTGGAGTCTTCTCTGGAGAGGTGGCTCCTTCTGTAGGCCTTCAGCCCAAGAGTGGACTTGCCAGGGCGTTCAAGGCCCACTTTAGACCCCTGGCAGAGAAAGAGTGCCCTGGGGAATAAGTTAATGATAAACATATGCATGAGATTATACCAAACCCTCCTTTCAGTCCCTTACCTAGGCAGAATTCTGTGGAAAAGGAATCTTTTCTGTGATCAAACATACCGTACTTCTACCCTCTTTTCAAGAAGAATTAGGACCAAGTGAGAAATCCACTTCACTTGTTCCTGCTTAATGCCAGAGTTCAATGACATGATCCCCAACACAGCCTAAAAAGCTTC